TTTACTCGTTGAACAGTCGCAGCGAGTCTGTTCCTCTGCCCTGCCTTCTCTCCGCCGCCCGCGCTCTGCAGCGCCTCAGCGGCGCGCTCGTTGACCGGATGCCGCCGACCCTTGGGCCGCCGCCGCCGCCGCCGCCGCCGCCGCCGGCACCACAGCACCACAGCACCACAGTGCCACGGCACCGCCCACCACAGAACCATAGCACCATAGCACCACAGTGCCACGGCACCGCGCACCACAGAACCATAGCACCATGACACCACGTCATCACAGCACCACGGCACCACAGCACCACAACACCACGCCACAGCACCACAGCACAACGGCACCACGGCACCACGGCACCACGGCACCACAGCACCACGGCACCACGGCACCACGGCACCACGGCACCACAGCACCACGGCACCACGGCACCACAGCACCACAGTACCACAGCACCACGGCACCGCGGCACCACAGCACCGCGGTACGACAGCACCACAGCACCACAGCACCACGGCACCACAGCACCACGGCACCACGGCAGCGCGCGCTGAGGCTGGCCATGACGCGTCCGGCGGCTCGACGCCCACCGGATTTACAGATGGGCGCGTGTCAACGTGATTAAGCCCAGCCAGAGATCGGCGATATGGCCCGCGGAGCGAGCGAACTTGTCACCCAACGGGTGTTCGGACCTACCTGGAGACAGTCGTCAGGCCCTTTGACAAGGGCTTTAGCCTGGGGCATTGCCCGGCTTGGACCGTTGGCGCGGTCGTCATAAGACGGTGATGAAGTTCCGGGGTATTGACGATGTTTTCCGTGTATGGGTTGATACGTATTGGTGCGGTAAATTACGCAAAGGTTCATCTGTATCAGGGGTGGGCTTTGGAAGCTGATGAAATTCGTGACTGTCAATAATCTTTCAAAGCGACAGGTATCTTCACTGGTGTCAGAACAAATAAAGGTCCCAAAGTTTCGGATAGGAATGGTGAATGTGGGCATATTTAGCATACCTTCCACGTACCTTCTACCTTTTACATTTACATGCCGCACACCTTTTACATTTGGGCTCAGTCGCAACCCACCGTTACGGCTGCAGTCTGCCTACGACGGCGCGCCCTCCTTGTCACCCGGTCCAAATCGGCAACACGCAGTTCAGCCGGCGCGGATCTCTCAGCTCTTCCGACTCACCTGGCCGTGTCTCGACCTGACATTCACGCCATCACGATCTCAATGGGAGCATTCTCCCCGAGCCCCGCACGTTAATCGGTCATCGCGCCGCGCCATCCAACACATCAGCCTCACGCGCCGGCGGCCGTCGCCCCAAACACCGCGATCACGACGGCCCGTCGCGCTCTCCTGAAGCACCTGCCGCCAGACTATGTGCCACGGCCGCCGGCTTCTGATGTGCCACGGCCAGTGGCTTCTGATTACTCCGGCTGCATTTTGTCATCTGCTGCCGCGCGCCGTGCGGCCGGCCGCGATAGAGGCGGTCCGCGCCGATGACTTATAATTGCTTTGTACCGTATTGTCATCTGGCGTACGGTCGGCCTTTGGTAACCGTTAGTAAACACGCTTGAGGCGGTGACCGCATAAGCTCCAGCCTTGGGCGCCAGCGTTTTCATTGAGGAAATCCCAAAACGGGGCGCGTTTCTCCGGCCAAATCCTTTTGCCTGAGCGCGGCGGAGAGAGGAGGGCTGACTGGCTCTGGGGAGAGACAGTGCTCTGTCGGCTGTGCTCTGTCCTCACCTCAGCTATGCTCTGTCCTCACCTCATCTCCGCCGGCGCCGTCACTTTCACGGCGCCGTTTCCCACCACCCCCGCGCGCCTGGTGTCGGTCCTTCCACTTCCCGCGCCGCCTCAGCTTTTGTTCGCCGCTGTCGGGGCTTGTCTGCCGCGTTTTCACCTCTCTCCTGTCGTCCCCGGCGGCGCCTCTCTCCCGTGCCGTCTCCCCGGTGTACACGGCGGACGCCGCGGCAGCGTCAGGTCTCCCCGTCGTGTGGGCGTCCCCCCCCCCCCCGCTGTGGTCTCAGCGGCGGGCGGGGCCATCTGTCGCAGAGGCGGCGCGCTGAAGCCGCTCCTGACGGGCTTGAAGCCGCCATTCGGCCGGACCCAGAGGGCGGCCACTAAGAGCAGCCACGGCCCAGAGGGCGGCCACTAAGAGCAGCCACGGCCCAGAGGGCGGCCACTAAGAGCAGCCACGGCCCAGAGGGCGGCCACTAAGAGCAGCCACGGCCCAGAGGGCGGCCACTAAGAGCAGCCACGGCCCAGAGGGCGGCCACGACGAGTCGATCGGCGCCGCTCACTGCGCACACCTCAGCTGTGCTCTGTCCTCACCTCAGCTGTGCTCTGTCCTCACCTCAGCTGTGCTCTGTCCTCACCTCAGCTGTGCTTTGTTCTCATCTCAGCTGTGCTCTGTCCTTACCTCAGCTATGCCCTGTACTCACCTCGGCTGTGCTCTGTCCTCACCTCAGCTATGCTCTGTCCTCACCTCAGCTGTGCTCTGTCTTCACCTCAGCTGTGCTCTGTCCTCACCTCAGCTGTGCTCTGTCCACACACGTCACGGCGCCACCCCTTGCCGTTCACAGCCCTGTGAATCACAGCGATCGCACGGCGACCCCCTGGGTTAGCGTCTTGCGGTACCCCGTGCCGTTACGTCACCTCTTGCCGCTGCCTTACCCTGGTCGTTCACTTACCGTGAAGTCTGCGTCTTCTGTGGGCTTTTTTGTGTTTGGGAGGGATCGAGTTCCTCGTCCTCTTTGTTTTTGACTGAGCACCGGGCATTTGGAAGTTGCGCGAAACCAATTTCCATGGTTGCTAATGTTCCCCGTTCCAAGGATTTCGAGAACTTTTGCTCCTTTAGTTCAGTTGCCGACTGGATTCGAAATTTTGGGGATTCCACAGTTTTCCACGCCCAGTTGGGAAATTGGACGGACGAGGGAAAACAAATCTTAATTTTCTTGCACAGCTCAGATTATTATGTTGCGTCATAACTTGGCTTTATGCATCTCAACTGTTTAAATACTGCTCGTTTTCAAAATAATTTGATTCCGGCACATCAACATGTTGTTGATAAGAGCACAATACACAATTCTTCGTTTTGGAATATGAGATAGAAAGCTCCTATGATGAAGCGCATCCACGTCAATATCTTCAGGAGAGCCTATGATGCTCATTATTCACCTGGTTACGATTCGTTGCCACTTACCATCCGACTAAGCTGCCACCGTCGGACTTGGCGATAGCCCAGCTAAGCGGGCATCGATGTGATTTGTGAACAGTGGATGCTTTCACGCAAGCATGTGATGCCCTTTACTTACCGACGATCTTTTCCTTTCTTTTCATTTCATCCGAGTGAGGGAATGCGGCGATGAGAGTGGTGACTGGGATTATTGGTTATAGGTGGTAGCGATCTGATGTAAAGAAGAACTTGAAAGTTTTTGAACGACGCGATCGTTTAGACATTTTTTGGACAGCCAGCTGGTTTATCGTTGGACTTTGAGTTATATTTCGGGGAGGAACTTCCAGAAAACGGCACCTCTGTCCTCAAGGAAGACGTTCCCTCCTGCAGTCGTGCAGGAGCTCCTGCGCTCCATCCGCCGCCGCGGTCCTCCAGGAGTGTCACTCCATTCACTGCCGCAGTCCTCCCGGAGAGTCGCAGTCCATCTACCTCCGCGGTCCTCCCGGAGAGTCGCAGTCCTTCTACCTCCGCGGTCCTCCCGGAGAGTCGCAGCCCATCTACCTCCGCGGTCCTCTCCGAGTGTCACACTAATCTGCTCCACCCTTTGACGGCCGTGCGGGACAGTCTGTTGGCGTCTGGGGAAACACGAGCCCGCTTTCTCGGGACGTCTGGGAGCCGGCCGCGGGGTGTCTGACCGGGCGTGCGCAGCGGGCGCCGCTTTCTACCCCGGTGACGGCCTTTCTACCCCGATCGCTGCCCTCCTCCCGCCCAGAGCGCTGCACCACTGGCAACAGAAGGCACCAGCCTGAACTGTGTGGTGTCACACGGCGTCTCTCGGAGCTAACTGACGCCCCCCGCGTGAGGCCCCACGCCCCCCTGTGCCATCCCTCGCTCAACAGCGCCATCACCACCACGTGCATAGCACGAGCGCCGGCGGCACCCAGCTTGGCGTCGCCAGAGAGCCGAACGTGGTGGTGTCTGTTGGCCGGAGTAAGCGTTCGAGGCAGGGTCTGAGGCGGGTCTGAGGCGGGTCTTAGGCGGGTCTGAGGCGGGTCTGGGGCGGGTCTGAGGCGGGTCTGAGGCGAGTCTGAGGCGGGTCTGGGGACGGTCTGAGGCGGGTCTGGGGAGGGTCTGAGGCGGAGGCCGTGGTCAGTCACTCAATAGCCAGCAACGGCTCGGCGCGGACCCGACCTGTTCCGAGTGTGTCCCCGGGTCAAGGGTAACTGCAAACGCCGTGAACTCTTCCAACTGATAGATATATCGCACGTGTATGGGAATCACTAATAAACATTTATATGCTGATGATCGTTACTGAAAGCCGTAACCACCCGCAGCGAGGACTGCCGGTAAAGGCCGCATAGCAATCAAGCTGCGCGGCAATCTAGTTGTCACGTACATTCTGAGTGATAACGCCCTGCAAGGACTGCATTGCCTTATTCAGATGCGTGATAATCTTTGGCAAGAATGACCGAGAAAAATACAACGCTGAATCCATTTACCTGAGATGATACCCTGCATCTTGCCTTTGCCCTGTCGCTCCGGCCTGTTGACATAGTGACACTGACCTGTCCACCACGAGCTCTCCCATATGACCTGTCCACCACGAGCTCTCCCATATGACCTGTCCACCACGAGCTCTCCCATACGACCTGTCCACCACGAGCTCTCCCATATGAACTGTCCGCCACGAGCCTTCCCATAAACCGCATGCCCATTGGCTCCCGCTTCCCTTCCTGGCCCGACCCCGTCACCTGCTGCTGACCAGGCCGCCTCCTGCCGCCGGTGACGTCTCCAGTTCGGTGGCAGCTCGCCTGACCCGGCCTCTTCTCTGTTGCAGCCGCCGCCGAGTGGGCTCTTCCCGTACGCGCTGACGCCGTCGCCGGGGGCGGTCACGCCGGCGGCCAGCGTCAAGGAGGAGCCGAGCCTGGGTCAGCCGGAGCCGGACTGGGCGTCCGGGGCCTCGGGCGCCGGATCCACGGTCGCCGACAGTCCCGAGCGGGGCAGTGAGAACGGCGAGGTGCGCGACCCGCTCGACAGTCCTGAGAAGGGGGTGAGTACCAACTGAGAACCGGGGCGGGGGCCGAGACACGCGCCTGGAACCGCCAGCAGCTGATCCTGGATCCCGGAAATGGATCCCGGATATTGTTGTTGCATTCTAGATTCCATTGTTGTCTATACCTCACGTTTGAATTTCACATCCATCGCCCAGATCCCAGATCTCAAGATCCCAAGATTTTAAACAGGGCCCTAGTTTGACATCCGGACCTCAATGTGAGATCCTGGGTATCAATGGTGAATCCATGATCCCGTAAAATTAAGTTGTTCCGGGAGCTGGATCCGGATCTTGGGATCCGTTTCTCGGATCCAGGTGCGTGTGGGACCGGCTTATGTCTGCGGAGACTTGTGTGTGTCGTAGTGCGAACTACGCAGCCGGCGCCTGGTTGTGTGAACTACGCAGCCGGCGTCTGGTGGGACACAACGCACCTCCGGTGCCCCGATGGCTCTCACAGCGGCCGCTGGCCGAACAGGGCGCAGTGAAAGCCGTGCGGAGGCCCTGGTCGCACGTTCAGACAAGGGGATCGACACCGGCCAGGACTGGCGTAATGACGGCTGGATGGTGGGACGGTCCACAGACGCGGGACAGCGTCGGTTGCGCTGGTTGAAACGCTGGGAGTTGGCTGGTTGCTGCGCCTGGACCGACGGTGTCCCGTTGGTTGTTTTGCCCATCCCCCATCAGAGTTGTCCGCTTCCTTTGGAGCGGCAGCCGAGCGCGCAGACTGCTGACCGCCGGTGGTGCTTGGCGCGATGTGCTCTGCAATGTGCATATCCTCACCGCCACGGCTCTCCCCGGCCCGGGGTACACTCACAGCACTAATTAGTCCGCTTCTGGGGCATAGCTGGTGTTGGGCACATTTATACTGCTGGACAAGGTGTCTGCGTCGAGCGGTGGACTGGGCTTGAAGTCCATTTCGTGGGTGATTTGTCGTCGGGCACATATTGCTGCGGTTGCGCTCGGCTGAGCGACGGTGTTGACACGATCTCACGGGCTCAACTGAGATCAGAAGCTGTCTCGCCGTGGGTCCACTAGGTGAACTGAGATTGGAAATAATCACACACCAAAACGAGCTCAGTGGATATCGCATATGGTTATCACTGCTATATCACTATCACTGGTTAGCTCAACTGGAGGCGAGATCAACCAAGTTGCGACAACTTGCAATTTAAACTGACATCATGAGTGACTGCCACGAGCTCGATGCCTCACGAGATAGATGACGCCAGGAACTCGCAGCTCGGCAAAGAGCAGAGGTCGGCGTTGCCACAAACTCGTGAGCTCGGCCGATCTCAGAGAGCATTGTTGCTTCAGAGGCGGCAGGCCTTGTTTACGAGAGAACATCGGACAGCTGTTTTGATGGTGGATTTGCGAGAGGGCGTCAGCAAAGCAGGCGATCCCGGCGGCGTGCCTCCGACATCGCGTGCCGTGTCCGGCACACAGCCGGCAGCCGACCGCCGCCCTGGCTGTCGAGGTGCGGCTCTCGGAGGCTGGCCGGCACAGTTCTTTACGACCATTTTCGTTAAAACGTACTCTTGTCGGGTTCAATTTGTGCATACAAAGCGCCCGAATGGCATCTGAATGTCATCTGTGAATAAACTATGCCAACAAATTCATCCCGCCCAGCAAAAACGCTGCCGCGCAGCCGACAGCTCGCGCGCGCCGTCGCCCAGGGCTCCTCCACGCCGGAGATTCCGTTGTGGGCCGACGAGCGACCGTTGCGGGGCCGCCAGACGGCGTAACGGACGGCCAGCCGGGTGGCGGCGGCGCCGGCCGGCGGCAACGGAGCCTCTTCCGGCGCGGCGCGTGGGAGGGCGACGAGTCCGTCGGTGCCGATAGGTGCACCGCCGGACGGGCTGCAGGCTTGGGCTGCCGGCCGAGGACGCCGCGTACAGCTGCAAAAAAAAAAAACTGATCCGTTAGGCTATTTCGCCGGGAGACCGCCGAGTGGCCATCAGTTTGCGAGACGGCGGTCGGCCTATAGACCTGTGCATCATATCGGTCATCTCTCGGCCACAGGCGCCCTACAGTACACCTGCCGCGAGCTTCAGACAGGGGGATAGTTGGCGTTATGTGCCACATGCCTAGCGTTTTCACCTTTCAGTCTTGACATTCACTGTTTCTACACCGACATTTTAAGCCTCAGTTTTCAAGGTCGTTTCGACGACAAAACTCTTTCCTACGCGTCCTCATTGACGTCCTCGGTGAAAGTTAGCCTTCAAAATTCACAAAGGCTGCGTTCCAGCAGATATGGAACGGGTATGAACCGGATTAAGCACCTTTGCGAAACGGAAAATTAGTGAGATCTGTTGTGGAGGCAAAGCAATTTGATCGGCAATGATGTTTCAATCAAGGACGAGCTTTGGAACTGATCTTTCCAACACCCGCTGGTGGTCGATCAAACGGTCACGTGGCAGGCCAAGGATCGAGCATTACCTGAGTGTCAAGTACCGGGCTCGTCTCTAGGCCGCCTTTCCTCCGCTGGCATTTGTTACCCCGGCGTCAAATTCTTCTCAGGGGCGACCGCCTCCCGTCCGTCCGTCCACTGTAGGACCATGAGCAGAACCGGTTGGAAGAGCCCGCTTCCCAGCTGCTGTTCTGCCCGGAGGCGAGAGCGTCTCGCTCGTTTATCGTCTTGTCGGCGGCTTGATTGGACCTGCCGCGGATTCCGGAGGATTCCATAGTAGGCTGAGCACGTGAACGGCGGTAGTCTGATTAAGTCACAATTTCCTTCAATGACTAATTTCAATTTTGTTGACAAATTGTTTGAAGTGATAAAACCTTCCATACCAAAGTGCCCGCGGATAGTAAATGTCGAGTCAATGCGGCTTATGTCACAGCCGATAAACAGTGCAGGAATTTACAGATCCCGCACACCAAATCCGAAATTCCTTGGCTTGTCAATGGCATACTAGAACGAAGTTTGTTACACAGCAGCAAGGGACGAACAGCTACCGCAGAACTACTCGTTGACAGACATTGCCTGTTCAAGGATGGTACCAAGCCCATGAACTGAAAGGGAGCCAAATGGCATCGATACCAAACCGGCGGTGGTTTTGCATGAACATCGGGGCCAACATACACAAACAGATACACTCGCGCCTATATCAGTGCCCCGCGTAGTGTAGCTAGAACTCGTCCGTACACAGTGCGTGTGCGTGTACGTGTGTGTCCGCAGCGATCCGGCGTCGGGGCAGCGCGCATGCGCGCCAGCGCCGCGGGACCGTCGAGGACCTGCGCCACGCTGCGCAGCTGGCAGCTGCTGCGCATGCGTGCTGCCCTGGCGCCGTGCCCGCGACACGCCGACACCGTAGTGGCCTGACCTCACCTGTCCCGGGGCGGTGGCGGTGGCAGTGGCGCGCTCCAACAGGTCGCCGCATGATGGACTGTGGGTGCAGCATGTAGAACTAGCGGCCTCCCTCGGCGGCCTCCTAGCTAGAGCTTTGTAGGTCGACCGCGGGGCGGCGCTCGCCGCGCCGCTCCGCCCTGAGCGCGCCGCGGTTGCCGCCCCCGCATTGCGCTCGCTCTTTCGAGCGGTTAAAGTCCCCTAAATATGCCCTGCAGAAGAGCGCTTCCAAAGCGGCTCGCCGCCTCAAAATTGCTGCCCTTGCGCCGGCAACACCCACAGTTCACTCATGCGGCGCCCTGTTCTGTTGCAGTCACCGTGGGCGTCGCGCCGTTGGCCTACGCTGTTTCGACCGCGCGCCGCCGCCGCCGCCGCCACTCCCTTCCCCTCGCCCACCCCCCTCATGTGCAAGTTCTGCGGGCAAATGTTCTCCGACGCGTCCAACCGCTTCCGGCATGAGAAGCGGCACAAGCACCCCGAGGAGGTGCACGTATGCTTCGTGTGCAAGCGGCCGTTCTCGCGCAAGGACAACATGAAGAAGCACATCAAGACGGTACACGGCGTGTCTGCGGAGGCGGAGGAGCCGGGCGGCGTCCACGGTGGCCATGGCAACGGCTGGACGGCCGTGCCGATGCAGGCCGTCGACATGACCAGCGGGCGGTGAGGCGGCGACGGCGTCAGCAGCGGCGGCGGCGGCATAGAAGGGGAGGCGGCCGAGTCACCCCACCCACCGGCGGCCGGCGGCGGCACGCACGCACTAGAGTCAGTGCGGACGAGGGGAGACGGCGTCGAAGATGCACCCCAGCCAGTGAGCGACGGCCATCTTGGCCGGCGGAGATAGAGGTCTTTCTACGGTTTGTTTTTGTATCAAAGATGGAGGCCCGAGGCCCAAGACACGTTTTATTAGTGATTTTCGTAGCTTTAATGCGTCTGCCTAGCAGAAACTGTGGACGTCGCGACAGGACCCCTGTGAACTATACGATATTTTTACACTCTGCTGTATAGGGTTATCTGGGAACATGTAGTGTGATATAGGGTTATTTATTGGCGTGTTTTTAGGGGAGGTGGATGAGGGATTTATTTTTATATACTTCTACGTGCGTTCTGTTCGAGTGCAATGTTCGTGCAGGGAGCTCCTCCGGCCACTCCGTCCCCTTTGGCTGGGTGCCAACACCAAAGACCGCGCTGAGACGGACCCCGCGGCTATCTCAGCTCTCCTGGGGTTGCCAGATCTCGAGCGCCCTCTCGCGGCCATCACCTTCTTTCCCCTGGCGTTTCACTCCAATGCTGTCTCAGGAAGCGGTTGAAAATCTCGTCTTTGGTGAGGCGAGCGGGCGCGTTCGCGCCGCTTCGCTCCTAATTTGTTCCTATTGAACTCCCCGCGTCTAAATCCGGTGGTGGGGATATGGGCTCGATGATTTGTTGACAGCGTCTTGCTGTCGTCGCACGTGAGCAGTGGCGCCGGAAGTGCAAGGCCTGGGGCCGATCCCTCCCCCCCCCGGATATTTTGCACGTTGAAAGTTCGTGATGAGTTCGAGCCCCACAACTTCCTCTCTCTTACGACATGCAGATCATTTTGATAAATTAGGAATATAGGTCGGCGTATCAGACACTTCCAAATTACTGGCAGAACTCTGAAATGATGACTAGGATTTCAGGTGTCGTCCAGATTTAGCCCAGCCCCATTCGCACATGTTTCCAGCGTCTATGCACATGTGGCTATTAATGGCCGTCAGCTGGTTTCAAGTGTTGTTTGTGTTTTGTCAAATTGTAAAATTAACGGCACCTAATTTGTTGCGGCTTGTTATTGTCGGGACTTCCACGAATGCCAAAATTTCACAATGGTGTTCCATTGATCGTATCATTAAGACGTTCCTGTGATACGTTGCATATTCGATGCACTGTAAGCTGCAATGAAATATTCCTACTCAACTGTGACACACGATTCCTTAAAAAGGCGTTTGCGAGACGACTGGTTGTGCTGGTGTACTTGAGGTTTGATATTTGCGAAACGACGAGCTACAGAAAAGAGGCCTTTATGAAAGGCTTTGGCCAAGACATCTTGATGTACTCACTCTGTAATGTGACTGACAGCGTTGCCAGAACGTTGAAATATTTCAGGAGGTTTTGCTGAAATATACTGTTTTTAAGGTTTATATGACGCGCTGACAAATCTGCTTTTTGAAGACCCCTTAGCGTCTGGGGACAGATTGGCCGACATGGAGCGACCGATGGACGAAGGAGCGCGGCTCATCATGCCCCTGCGCTGTTTACACACCAGATAAAGTGCAAACTACAGTTATGTCCAAAAACGCTGTTATTTGGTGAGGTGTAACGCAAACAGTTTGCACTATCGTGTATATCCTCAGACGTACATCGGCGGAACCTCAGGCCAGCCCTATCACCGATCTTGTCCGGATTTCACGGCTCCAGCACGTGCAAGTGTGATAATCAGTCCCCACCCGCAAGCTTCTTTTCTGCCCACTCACGCCCGTGACGTTTGTCCGAAGCTTGATCAGATGACCGGTGCGCGAGGCCAGGGACCCAGCTTAACCGGCGGAGGGGGCGTGACCCACCGGACCGGATCCGGCCGGGGACGCAGCCCGCCGGCACAATACCGACCCATTTGCATGAGAACACGGCGTCGCCGTGCGCCAGTTTTTGCCGCGGCGCTTTTTCCGGCGCGTTGCAGCGCGGCGGCTCGCCGCGCCGTCAGCTGTTGCGTCACCTGGCCGGCGGCTCGAGTTTTTCCGGAGCGTTGACCGCGCTGGCGCCTGACCCAGATGAAAGCGGTGGGGGGGGGGGGGGGGGGGAGGAGGGGGCAGGGCGAGGGGACTTCCAAGAGCTGGGAAGGGCGGGACAGATATTTGACTTAGTGCTCACCATGCAACGTCACAGAAGTGGTGCTAAATTTCCCAAAGTTGGGCCGCTGCGCCCTGCTCGGGCTCCTGAGTCACGGGGAAACGACGGTGGGTCTCTTTGGAGAAGCACCGGCGAGAGTCCGGAGCTTGGTGGCAGTCATGACCGTTCTTCGAGCGTTTCAAGCGGGTTGAACATCGAACCCATGGCGTGCACACCAGGCATTTTGAGATCAAAACGATTCGGCGTTCCCTGCTCTCAGCAGTTATCTTCCGTGGCGTTTTTCGGGCGCACAGGTGTAGTGGCCGGCGATCCTCACCTCCGTGACGGTGGACCCGTGACGGTGGACCCGTGATGGCGCCCAGTCGCCGCCAGCTGACTGCAGCGGCCAGCGAGGCCAGGGCCGACCCGTGACGTCACGCGCGTTCATAAGCCCAGGGAGCCCGAGTCGAGCTGGGACGGCCGGGGACGATCAGCGGCGGTCACACGTGTCCATGAGCCCAGGGAGCCCGAGCCGAGCTGGGACGGCCGGGAACGATCAGCGGCGGTCACACGTGTCCATGAGCCCAGGGAGCCCGAGCCGAGCTGGGACGGCCGGGGACGATCAGCGACAGTCACACGTGTCCATGAGCCCGGGGAGCCCGAGCCGAGCTGGGACGGCCGGGGACGATCAGCGGCGGTCACACGTGTCCATGAGCCCGGGGAGCCCGAGTCGAGCTGGGACGGCCGGGGACGATCAGCGGCGGTCACACGTGTCCATGAGCCCGAGGAGCCCGAGCCGAGCTGGGACGGCCGGGGACGATCAGCGACGGTCACAAGCCGCACGCCTCCCCGCACGCCTCTCCGCAGCAGCCAGTCTGGCGACGGGGCCGTCTCCATCTGCCGGCTGGCGGTGCGTGCGTGATGGGGCGCACGGCCGGGACGGGGTCAGGGGAAGAGGGTCTGTCGGAGCGGCGTCGGGCCGCAGCACGCCAACGAAACGCGATGGGAATAATGATGACGGGCGTAGTCATGTTACCATCGCCGGCATCGGTGGAGTCCGGGCCCGAGCATCGGACCGACGGCACCGGACGGTTTTTAGCTTTGTCCATCAAAAATGTCGTCGAGTGAGACAGGTCCTGGTCAGAGTGGTTCGGAGCCTCAGCAGCCGTCATTCGACGGTCCGCCCCAGGTGGGAAACTAACGAGTCACCCCTGAGCCAATCATCCCTGGTGAGGGATCAGGGCCATAATGGCGGAGGGCTGGTGCAACGACTGGGGACAGTGCCGTCGAGTTCTCCCTTGCTCTATCAGCCACTGCAGTGGAACAGATCACCACCTCCCCGCCCCAAGTCTAAATAAGCCGACCTAAGGAGACAGCCAGTCACGGCACAGATTCCCCTCATCAACCCCTGCCGGGGATCGTGCAACAATTGAGCAAGCCTTCATCCGTGGCAGGGGCAACGCCAGGACTTTCTTAAAAGGGAGGGGCCGGAGCTCATTTAGAAGGCACCGCGCCGATTTTACAGCTGGCTGTGAGAAGCTACGTGTGTCGAAAATGGAAACGTTGCAGGCGTGGCAGCGCCTACAATCTGTACCTTCATCAGCAACTCGGAAAAGTTCAAAACTTCGGAAAAGCCTTCGAAGGCGCTTCCGCAACAGCATTCAGAAAGGTGCATGGTCCTCGTGGGCTTTCGCCGTCACCTTAAATGGTACTCAGGGAGTGGTTACTTACTTTTCATCATGGCTTCCCGGTCGATCGATACCTTCAGAATCAGATACGAGTAATAATAAATCGAGCATGAAAGGAGACGGCTTGAGAGATACTGATCTTAAAGAGCTGACATCTAAGGCAATAGCACTCAATGAACATTGAGTAAAAGGAAGGAGAAATCCTGAAATGAGCTTTCCATTCACCAGAGGTTCCAATGACGCAACGGGAGTTGGGCTGAGAAGGGTGAGACATTATTTAAATGCGCATGACTTCACTTCGCGGTGATCTCATGAAGTGGAGGCGCCTTGGGCTCCGGCCGGGATGCGCCAGCTGTAATCGTCAGTCGTCGAAGCGTATATAACTGCCGTGGCCATTACTACCGCTATCTATCACATCAAAGCATGTACCTATCCCGGTCATTAGAGCTGCAGTTTATCATGCACTTCCTGCACGGTAGCTCTGCAGAGCGTCCAGCTGGAACCTGCATGCTCTTCAGATAATCAAATCGGCGCGCGCAACATGCTTCTGCACCATAGTCTGTCCCTGCATGGCGATCGGACAGTCTAAAATGGCTCGCTCACGTCCAGAGAGCGGTGCAGAATATCAAACCCGCCGCCATCGGCAGGCCCATTGGTCAGTCTGTCGGCCATCGGCCAAACCACCGCCCATCGACCAACCAAATCTGTTCACCGGCCGCCGAAAGCCGCGGCCACGCGACCTGCGACCAATCTACCGCGTGCTGCCGGTCATGAGGTCATCGCAGCTTCCGCGAGACGTCGCGGAATCAATACCCGATACGCAGCGGGCACCGGTGCTCCTGCATAACGCGACTCTCCGGCCAAGCATTGCCGTGATGTTGGCCAAGCAGCTTTGAGGAGGTCCCGTCACCTCTGAGTGGCGGCGCTCGAGGCCACGCTCGACCGGACCCGCTGTCTCTGTTCGACCCCGTTCCGGCGCCTCTGGCGGGTGTTGACACACACCCTGAAAACGGCACGTGAAACCCACGCCGTTCTCGCCATCCGTCGTGCTAGCCGAAGACCGCCAATGGATGCCAGCTGGCGGTGACGTCACGCCACCTAACCGCGCCTGCGACCGGCGAATTAAAGAACGTTCCCAGAAGGTACCGTCCGGTGGACATTCGTTCCCAAAAAATAGCGTCCGACGAACATTCGTACCGTCCGGCGGGCAGTCGTTCCGCCTGTCAGGCTGACGGACGCCCGTTCTGAGAATTCGTTCCGCCCCTGTATACGACAATAGCGCGTATGTGTTTGTTTGTAACGACTGCTTCATATGTACGGGGAACAAGTTCAGGCCGATGGCCTCTTGGTTTAGCAGCGCTCCATGCTGAGGGTGAGGGGACGGCAAGGGGGCGTATGTAGGGCGGCTTGCAGGCAGCATATACTTGTCCGACTTTGTTCACGTGCATTTTGTATGCTCTCGAAAAGTCAGCTGTATTACACGAACGTAGTGCTTGTGGAACGCTGAGGTCGTGCACCGTAAACAACTCTGCTCAAGAAAACCATGCGTGCGCCCGTGAACACGGCCGCGGCCGGTCGGTCACGTCCTGGCGTCCCCTCCACTGCGCCGCCCGGCTGTCCCAGGGGAGCCGTATCGCCCCAGATAAGGGGGACTATCGGCCGGGGCCCCGTACCCGTGAGTGTTATCGGACGGTCCGGAATGCGGCGGAGCTCCCACGGACGCGGGAACGACGGGATTGCCGTGGAGCTGCACCTGACGCAGTGCAAGGAGAGACTCGGAGAGAGCAGACCGTTCTCTGTGTATTCGACAGCACGAGAAGAGATTCGGAGAGGGGAGACCGTTCTCTATGTATTCGACAGCACGAGGGGGAGATTTGGAGAGAGAAGACTGTTCTCTGTGTATTGAATAGTACAAGGGAAGGCTTGCAGCAGTGGCTGATCCAGCAACCAGTCTTGAGGGATTAGCTCACATGTTTCGCTTTTACCTAAAGCGAAACTAAGAAAATTATGTTATTTCCGCCGACTTGGGCAGGATGGAGGAAAGGCATGTTGAAATCCGCCAACGGGCTGCAAGCATGAGTGAAACCCGCATTTGTTTAGGAGGTCTTGCCGTTTCTCATCTCATCTGTGCACCGCATCCACACCGAAACTCAAAGCAACTTTGGTTCACTCAAAAGGTCGGTCCAAAACGGAAGCAGATCGGTCTAACCTGGGGCACTCGCAAGGTCGGTCCAAAACGGAAGCAGATCGGTCTAACCTGGGGCACTCGCAAGGTCGGTCCAAAACGGAAGCAGATCGGTCTAACCTGGGGCACTCACAAGGTCGGTCCAAAACGGAAACAGATCGGTCTAACCTGGGGCACTCACAAGGTCGGTCCAAAACGGAAGCAGATCGGTCTAACCTGGGGCACTCACAAGGTCGGTCCAAAACGGAAACAGATCGGTCTAACCTGGGGCACTCACAAGGTCGGTCCAAAACGGAACCAGATCGGTCTAACCTGGGGCACTCACACGAAGCGACCCTAGACAGTCTGCAGGACCAATCTACGTACCACGCGTGGCACAACTGGGCTCAGGAGAAGCAAACTGCAACTCTTGTAACCTGATGATGATGATGATTTGGGGTTTTAGGGCGCATCGACTGCTGTAGGTCATGCAGCACCCATAACTATCAATTTATGCAGAGCCGCCAATCAAGCAAGTGCATCAATCAAGTCACCCTATAAAACCTTTATAGTCAGGCCTAGTATCATGACAAAAAGATTACTGGGAAATCTATGGCGCGAAGAAACTGGAGCACTTTACCAACTTTGACAGTGTGCGAAGAATCCCTTAGAAAGTCACGTAGCGTGCGACCCTGGACATGGTGTCCGAAAAACTGCGATCTCGTTGCAGTAAGGTGACGGCAAGCGACCAGTGCGTGGTGCACGGTCAGCGGGTCAGAGCATCGACTACAGCATGGTCTGTTGTCAGCCAATAGCAGGTGACGGTGCGTAGCATATGTGTGGCCTATGCGTAACCGGCAAAGAGCAACTTCTTCCCTCCGGCTGTCCCGAAAAGACGACTGCCATGGTCCAGTACGGGGTTTC